CTCATCAAACATTTCAATACAGTCCATATAATCGTACAGATACACTCCTTTTTTACACACCAGTTCTAGTTTATCCTCAGTAAAATATTTTCAAGTGTGTCAATTAAACTATCTAGGCTAGAACGCACAAATCTGAATGAATCTAAAAAGCATAAATTTACACCACCAGGGACAGCCACCTCAAAAGATATGTATTTTTCTTCATTATTAGGCACAACAAAAATGTTTTCATGTGATTGGCTGATGGATATTTAACAATATTTTAATATCTAGAGTTCAAAGTAGCATTCCATCTTTGGCCTCCACCGCATCATGTTGTCCTTATCTGAGCTCTCAATCAGAAAGATTTGCACAAACTTCATCCTTTTACCTCATCTAAAAGAATGTGTATACCTTCCATCAACACTAAAGCAGGAAATTTTAAATTATCACAGAGACAATTGTGGCTATGTAACCCTAAACTACTATGAGTCTATTCAAAATCATATTAGGTTGTGTATTGATTGCGGAAAAATGGCCGATTTTCCTTCTTATTTAAAGCAAAGTGGTAACCACATGTATCCAAAGTTTAAAGTTCCAAAAGAAACATGCCACATTTGTCTAGCTCCTTTATTTATCTTTCATAAAGGCAGCTGTAAATACTGTAAATTCTAGATGAACATAAAGACCACAAAAACTAGAAATAAAAGATGGTTGTCTACATCAAAATGTGCAGTTTGCGGCAGCGTGAAACACTCGTTTATAAAGGAGCCATATGAGGTTTTAGAAGCCAAGGAGTTGCACAGGCCGGTTATTAAAAAGTTCATTAAACGCCGAATAGTCACCAAGGGTATCGATGATTTGTGGGCTGCAGATTTACTAATAATGAAGCAGTACACTAGGGAGAACAAGTGGTACAAGTACATTTTAAATGTCATAGATACATTTAGCAAATTCGTTTGGTCCGAACCTCTAAAGAAAAAAGACGGGGCAGAGTTGACAACGGCTTTCGAGAAGATTATAAAAAGAGCAAACAGTGATGGTCATAAAGCACCAAAGCTTTTACATACCGACAAAGGTACAGAGTTTAAAAATAAACCATTCAACAACATGTTGAGGAAGCATAATATCAAACTATGCCATACAGAGAGTGAAGAGAAGTCCGCAATAATCGAAAGATATCATAGGACATTGAATGAGAAACTTAAAGTGAAATTCCAAGTCCGACAATCCCACAAGTGGTACGATATACTACAAGAAGTCACAGACGAGTATAACCAACACGATTATCCAGGACCACACTATTAAAATGAGACCAGTAGAGGTCAACAAAGATAACGAGGCTGATCTATTAAAAATGTACATTGAGCGCGAACACAAAATTCGTAAAAACAGCAAGTTCGACCTCGGTGATAGAGTTCGTATCACGACGAAAAAAGACGTGTTTGCGAATAAATATAAACAAAACTGGACTTCGGAGATATTTACAATAGCACGAATTCTAAACACTAGACCGGTTACTTATAGGATCGCCGATCAAAATGGCGAGGAAATTATAGGCGGATTCTATGAAAAGGAACTGCAGAAGACCGCTCTCTGAGTGTCGGACTTTGAGGAGCCCGTTCTAGGACTTTTATCCCGTTCTAGGACTTTTATCCCCTATGAAAAGGAACTGCAGAAGACCGCTCTCTGAGTGTCGGATTTTGAGGAGCCCGTTCTAGGACTTTTATCCCGTTCTAGGACTTTTATCCCGTTCTAGGACTGCTCTCACCCTCACCCTGCGCTCAAACAGACCTTTACATAACTACTTGTACTTTTTCGTTTTGAGAGTCCAAAAACACCCTCCGTTCAAATTCATACCGTTAGCGCGACAACTCAAGCAACAATGATCCGATTTTGATTAAATTTGGTACAAATGTGTTAACCTAAGTTCAAAGTGTAAAAACACGAGTTGCGAACCAGCATGATGACTCTGGAAACGGGGTAAAAATTGGGTTTCCCCCTTTTTGATCCAAAAACACAAAATTTCACAATTTATTTCCAAACCATTTTGCAGAGCTTAAATAGGAAATGATTTTTGATATTGAAGCGTTGTTGTATGCCTTAAGGTTACAGAGATACCTAATTAAAAAAGTTGTAAATTTAAAATTCTCATGTTATGGAGAATAAATAAACTGTTGTACTTTGTTTATTTATGTTTAGATTTTAATCAAATTAAGGGAATATTTTAGTAGAAATCCAGTTAGGAAAATGTAAATTCACTTAGTCTGCAGGTTTGCTGCGGTGGGGGTATTTAAATTTAGCTGATATCCTTGAAATATTATGCATTTTAAGGTTGATTTTATATTTTTATTCCTCAAATGTCATCTGCCTTATAACATTTCTCAAGCCCAATGAGTCCACAACCTTAAAGCAGGGTGTCTACCAACCGGGAAATCGGGGAAAACCGGGAATTGTACTTAATTTTTTACTGGCCATGAAATGTACAGGGAATTGTCCTTAAATGCCAGACTATGTTCTTAAATTTTTAATGGGCAATAATTTTATCATCGCTAGTTGGTTAGGAGCACATATAAGGTTTATCAGATGTTTGTTTAGTTTACATTTTCATAAATGTATTAGGTACTAGGATAATTGTGCTCAATAAAAACCCATTAGAAGCTCATACCCATTAATATTTTATCACCGCAACCAAGTGTCAAGTCAAGTACTTCCAAGAACCATTGTGAAAGTAGCTTAGGTCATAAAAGTGTTATCACTTTTATTCCTTTACAACTTCCATTATTTATTACTTGGGTAATTATTATGAGATCCCAAACCTATTTAATCATGGAAATAATAGTTTTATTATAATGGCTGTTAAATTTCACTTCTTACTTGTGCTTTTATCTTCTTGAACATTCAAATTGTGGCCATTGCCTACTGTTTATGGTTTGATATTAAACTTGTAACTAATCTACAGTATTATTTTGTAAGTTAAAACATTTTTTTATGGATATTACTTTCAAGTGACAAAACCACAAGCATTGTTGTTTGCATTAATTGTAACACAGGCCTACTTGGTCTCAAATCATGTCATTGCATTTTCTGTATCTTTGTCTTATATTGTTGGCTGTTCAGGTTTCAATGTTTTTGTTTCCCATATTTATTTATTGTGTTATATGCTTTAAGCAATCTAAATCTTAACTAGAATGATGATGGTGACTTTGCTGCTATCATAACCTCATTGTTTGTTACTCAGTTGATATAGCCCCCCCCCCCCTAAATAATTAGGTCTAGGCCTGGGTATTTTTATTCTTTGAAAGAGCTGTAGAATATACTAAGAAAAAGTAATTGATTCCAATAACTTTGCAAATGAAAAGACAATAATCTTTCTCTGTGCTTACTGGTAGCCGCTTACCATACCGATTTTGTACCGAGAACCGAGGTACAATATATGTATTAAAGATTTGTTTCAAAAGTAGTCGAGAACACTTAACGTTGTGCTAGGGCGAATCACGCCTAACTAACCCACATAGATCGGATATGATATGAAAATGTTTCCATGACTGACCGAGATATTCAGGATTTTGTTGCTATTGCGGTAGACGATGATTGGGTTTCTCTGTTACACTAAAGCTTTACCCTAAGTAAATGTTTGCTCATTTCAATAAATTTCTAACTCTTGTCTATTATTACCTACTTATTTTTCTCTCTGGTACAACTACAGTGAAGAACAAGATTAATACAGTTTGACAAATCAGGAAAATATATTCGGTAATCGGTGCGACAACGGTTACGTCAAAGTGTCCTTAAATGTACGGGAATTGCCTATGCATTTTTTATCCAGAATGTAGTAGACACCCTGTTAAAGCCATTTTGGCCATTTTTTCCACAACTTCCACACGATTGTAAAGAGCTAAACTGCTATAGACAATCACTTTCATCCAACACGGTATTTTGCTCAGATGGTGTTTTTGACATGCTCCTTGTTACTTTCAATTTTGCATGCATCTCTTCATTGATAACCTTGATAAATTAACATGAAAGATACATGAGCCCATCTAGTTTCCATATAGAGGATGTTAGAAGGTTTAAGTTTCAGTTTCTGTTTTTTTTTATATATTTAAATATTGTTTTATAACACTACTTTTTTAAGTTTGCATTAAAATTCAATTTAATAATTTAACTTTTCATTTGTCATGTATTGTTAAAGCACCGTATTTGCACTTCCTAATGTGGTACTGTACTGTAACCCCTAAACTCAAAATCTAAGCCACCTCAGTGTTATCCAAGATTCTCTGTAACCGAGTAAGTCATGGTCCCGAAAACCTCAGTTAATCGGGAGTGTACTGTATTATTGAGACAGAAACCTCAGTTCTCATATGTCTGTAATTCAAATCAAATCAAAATGAATTGTATTTCCAACAAAAAGTGAACAATAAAAAACACGAACATCCGGTTCCAGTGAACAAAAAATACAAAGACACTTGCTTATTATTGCACAAAAGTAAAAATGTACTTATAAACTAGAATTAAATTACAAATGTTTCCAAGTTTCACAGAAAACATTGTTTTATATAAAACATTGAGAAATAAGCCTACCTAGGCTGGAAGCCGGTGTGTAGACTCAGTCCCTATCAGTGGATTATTTTATGTTAGAAAGACAAGAATATTGGAATGTTAAGTGGAATATTATGAAGGGAATGTGACTTTTGTATGGTTATAGTTCTGAAGCTTAATGATTTAATTTAGACCTAGGCAATATTATGCTGAAGTACTATGATTAGTTGCAGGCCTTTACACACATATTACATTGGTGAAGATCTGGTAAAATAGCTAGAATAGGATAAGTGTGGCACAAGACTGGTTCATGACCTAGGTCCTAGGGAGTAAATTATGTGATGAAGGACGTTTTTACCACTTTGTGATTCCAGGAACTGCACTTGATAGCCTCCTAGTTGCTTGAATCCTCTATGAATTTACTACTCAGTGTTTTTACTTATTCTCATGTTTTTTACACGGTTTTTCCTCTTTTTCAGGAATTGCATTTCCTACATGCATATCAGTCAACAATTGTATATGTCACTTCAGTCCTCTTCACAGTGAACCTGACTATTTAATTAAAGATGAGGATGTTGTAAAAGTGTAAGTAATATTTGAAACCAGAATAATTTATATTTATTACAATTGTTAATGTTTGGCATACTTTATTGAAGTAAATCTTAACCATAGTCCGATCAGGTAATAATAATAATAATAATAATATACTTTATTGTCATGAAACATTTCATATTTCCAGCAAAGCTGATGCAACAGGTAACCTTGTCTTTTCTTAGCTAACAAAATTAGGCCTACAAATTTTCACATAACTAAAACTTATTTAATTGAAACAGTCACTTTTCAAAATGGGTCATTTAGATACTCTACTCTAAGTAGTTTACTTTTAATTTACATCTCTGAGTATATCCCAACTGTTCCTGATTCAGTTGTTTATCTGGATCTGCACCGTAGCTTGGTAGAGTAAAATTAAAAACTACCCAATTACCTGTGGGTTTATCCATGAGGTAATGTCGCAGCCCTAGACCTATCCTGAAGTGATATGTGAAACCGTTTCAGGATGTAAAAACACAAGAGCTTGTAATTGTATTTATCTTGGAGCATTACCATCGGCTGTCTAAAATAGTTGGTTGGCATCTGTGATATTTTTATTACACAAAATAGGGGTCTGCGGATCCCTGGATTTTTTAGGTGGGGCCGGGCCAACAGTCAGCCAGAAAGCTTGGTTTGGGCCTCAAACCATTTTCGGGCCAAGCTCTGGTCAGGTCGTAGGTGTGCAAGCTCTCGATAGTGTCTGTAATAGCCACTCAAAATGTTTCCTGCAACCACGGGAGATATTTAAAATTTTGCCACCAATTCATGAAACGTTCACGATTTTGTCACAAATACAGGAAACGTTCATGATTTTGCCACCAATTCAAAAATGTTCTCGATTTTGCTAAGATTACAACAGGAGTCTTTAATGTAGCCTTCAACACTTTTAAACTTATTTAGGTATAATAGTTGATATTTCTGAAATTCCAAAGCTACAATTTGTTATACCTCAACCCAAAGTAAAGAAGTCTCTTTTAATAATTTTTGCCACCAAGACTGATGTACGATGTACTCTAACTCAGTTCTGTCGTGTCAGCCGGACCTGCGTCGGCTGTCAGCTCCCTCATATAAATGTGGCCAGCCTATCATCATGAAATGCTCTTTGTGTTAAATTGTGAACTTTATGTGTCGACGCATACCTATGTAATAAAGATTAACGAAGACTTCCGTCGGATTCATGGACTAACCAATTTGATGTGGGTTTGAAAATGAGTTATTGACCCAAAACTAGTCACCCTTGACTATATTTTAAAGACTGAAGACGGTCAAAAAGGTATGTAATCTATAAAAGATCATTAAAGTAGTTTGACCGATAGAACCTTATTATAAACACAATATTTTTAAATAAGTTTTATTGCAATATATTACGAACTGTAATTTATTCCCTCTTGTGACTCAACAGGGACCTAGGGGCGCACGTAGATGGCTTTATTGCAGTTGTAGCTCACACTATTGTTCTTGGAGCTTCTGAAAACAAGAAAGTGACAGGAAGGAAGGCAGATGTAATGATGGCGGCTCACTACGCTTCCCAGGCGGCGCTGCGACTGCTCAAAGCAGGAGAGGAGGTGAGTTATCTTGAGAGTTGCAAATCCAAATGTTCAACATATTTTTTTCTTGTGGATTGTACCTACAGAATATAACAATAATTGTCCAAAGCTTGTGCTATTTTTATTAGGTTCCTTGAAATTTTGGTTTAATCTTGAAAACTGCTTGGAGTACAAAGTTTGAAGTGACACATTTTTTTTTCTTTAAGTGTTGCTTTGCTTGAGATAAGATCAAACATACAATGTTATTATTTATAAATGTCCTTTATGATATGTCCCACTCAATACTGGATTATAAGATGTGTTTTATATACGAGGGTTGTCCATGAATGAAAGTCTTTATTAATTGAGCTTCCTTCACAGTCAAGCAGGCTAGTTCAAATCTGAGACCGATGTTGTTTTCTTTACTTCATCCACTACTATTTTATTGGTCTCACCAACCCAAGTTGAGGCAGCCTAAACTGGCTTGCAAGCTTATGGACCAGGCCCTTGCAACCCTTTTACATTACTACAGCCTCATAACAAATACATTTTGCTGATTAATAACAAATTTCAAAATCAGGGTTTTGGTTATCACAAATATCATCCATGATTAAAAGTGTGTAAACTATAATTTCGATGTATTTGAAACCTTCTAAAGAAGAGATGCTTTTAATTCAGCCAGAGCATAGAGTAAGTAAACAACATCTGGTGTTAATGTGTTCTATTTCTTTAGCCAAATGTACTGTTCTCTCTTTTTACAGTTTCGGTAGATTCAGTTTGCTAATGAACAGTTAGTTTGTTTATCCTCAATTGTTAACAATTGTTGTTTGCATGATATCTTCAGTCATTATACAATAAGTTAGCAAACCGTTATTTTTTAAGCATTAATGAAAGGACTGATGCATTTTTCTACTAAATTTTCCCATGATATATGCATTTTGGTAACTTTTATTGTCTCCTACTATGAGCCTATAATCATAGCTCACAGTATACAGTTTGCTTTAAAAGAATATTACCTCAATTAAGATAGCAAACTCAAAACAACCAGACATAAACACACAAAAGTTGGTTTACAATTTTATGATGGGATGAGAACTCTATTTTCAGCAACCAAAGTCAATGCCTATGCAATAAAAGTAAAAACCGACTTTATCTTATTGTGTTTATACAACATATTTTGCTTGAAATAAAAAGACATTTTACGTGTACATATACGATACTTGAAAAATTGTTGTAGTAAACTGGTATGTAATTATAACTAAATTGTAATAATTATAACTAAATTGTAATGGTACGTTACAGACATACAACATTACTGATACAGTCCAGAAAGTAGCTGAAGCGTACAACTGTAAGCCTATTGAAGGTATGTTAAGCCACCAGCTCAAACAATTCAAGATTGATGGGGAAAAGACCATCATCCAGAATCCCAGTGACGCTCAAAAGAAGGAGCATGAAAAATTTGAATTTGCCACTTATGAGGTTTACGCTATGGATGTACTCATAAGTTCAGGAGAGGGTGTGGTGAGTGATCCTATTCTGGTTCATTGTGTTTCGCAACTATATAAGATAAATAAACTACATCACATAATACGATTGTGGTAACATATTTTAGGTACTGTATTGATTTTAAATGCAGTACAACATCCATCAAAGAAATCTTAATTGAAACATAAAAAGTAAACTTCACACAAATCACTTATTTTGAAATATGATACATTGATTTTAAATCAAGATTAACATTAACCATATTATCAGTCACAGAGCTGTCAGTCAATCCATAAAAAGTGTTGTTTAAAAAAAAAAAACTTAACTTTTTTGTATGAAATGTGTTGACAATGTAAACCGTTTTTGCTTAAAAAAATTCATGTATATCAAACTGGTAGTATTCAGGCATATTCTTGAAGTAATATTTTCAATAAACAAATATATTTATGATTGCTGAAGGATGCTCTTGACAATTACTGCAAAGATAACCGACTATGGTAAATTACCAGTGATTTGCAATTTTAATTGTAAATCAATAACCATACTGTGATTGGTTTTAAATTCAATAACACCTGATCACCGCAGTTATGTAATTCAAATTAATCAACGTAAGCTAACTCTTGCATCAAATATTGTTTGTTAGTCAATGCATATTTTATTGTTATAAATGAAACAACAACAATAATATTAGATGTGATTAACAACATCATTATTAGTTTAATCTAATCCATTTCTAAAAATTTCATATTGTTCTAAAAAAGTGTTTTTTAGGGGCGGGAGATGGACACGAGAGTTTCAATCTACAAGAAAACAGATGAAACGTACCAGCTGAAATTGAGAGCATCAAGGATGTTCTATTCAGAAGTAACACACAAATATGGGACAATGCCCTTTAACTTGAGGAACTTTGAAGATGAGAAGAAGGCTAGGTTGGGAGTAAATGAGTGTGTCAACCACAAGCTGATTGAACCCTTCCAAGTCTTGTATGAAAAACAAAGTAAGTCAATACTTTATCTCATTTAAAAAAATCAAGCTCTAGTAGAACCTGATATTTGAGCTTCTGGAAACAATTGTTTCTCTGCCTTCAATCTTGTCCCCTTTTCAAAAACTCCCAATTAACAATCGTCAGAGCAATTGTTATATGACATCATGATTGGCTGTTAAATATTATAAGACTGATAAGTAGGCTATAGCTGATGTGCTGTCATTGATCAAAATATGGATGGAAAATATTTTTCTGACCATTCATCATAATCAGTGATAGATTTTAAAACTGTTTGGGTTATTGGGTACGGTTTGTTTTCTCCTTACTAAATACAACTTTTATTTAGAGTGCTGTAAGTGTAAAGAAACAAAAATATATATTTAGTATGCTACAGTGCTCTTTTAGCATCATCCATATGGCCGCTTGAGATATGATACCTCGTATCCACACATTTTTAAGTTTAGCTTAGTAACTGTGCTGCTAATCTACGGGTGCTTAAGTTGTTCATTGAATAGCAACTGTGAGTGCTAATGCTAATGTAATTTAATGTTCGGTGGTATCGTGAATTAACACAACCTTACTTATAATAATTGTTTTGATACAATAAAACACTTGTTTTGTGCATTTTAACCCTTATAGGTCAATTTTTTTCTTTTTTTTTGGTGAGTATAGGTCGCCATTTGACGGCAAAGGGTTAAGGGTTTTTTTATTGATGACATTTCAGTAATCCGGCAGTATCAAGGTCCTATATCTGCTGCCGTATTACTGAGAGTCTACTGTATATATATATATATATATTAATTTGATTGTTTTTGGCCTCTGGGGACATGAAAATGAAAAAGTAAATCAGTCCCAGGTCTAGCTCTTCCCATGATACCTGTGATACCAGTATAGATTATTGTTGCCAATGATGATAGATCAGTATGAAAAGAGAGTTGAGGGTCTTCAACACAGACTCGACCCAGATAAGGGCCTCTGTAATCTTGGTGTCTGCTGTACTAAGTTCTCACTGTAAGGGCAGAGGTACATCACTCTACCGACAATTAGATGGTTTTGAGGAAGTTCATCATCCATCTAAAGTGTTGGCATCCATACATTACACACACTCCCTCACAAACTCACACAAATAAACATCACAAACCTGTAAGATGTCTGGGCATGTTGAAGACCCTCTTCTCTTTGTGATTATACTTTAGTAATCTGAGGTGACATAATAAATAATGTGGCTGGAGAAAATACGGTGGCAGTGTTTGCTATATTAACAAGTTTTTTTTTCACGGAAAGTAAATAATCATAAATAATCATTCGCCTATTGGGTCTGATGACGATTGGAGTGTCCAATCGAAATCGATCACCACACCACTTACCATCTTTTGTATATTTACCGTCTTGTGAGTAACAGTATAAGCGTAAATATATGTTTTAAGTGTTATAAGACGTATCTTTATTTACTTTCCGTAAATTTCATAACACGTACAATGCTGACCAAGAAGTTATTTTTTTTTTCAATCAATGTGGTTACTGTATTTAAATTTTCTTATCTAATATCTACATGGTGTCTAGTAGTCGGGAAAAACAGGAAAGTGAGGAATTAGTATTGAATTTCTAAATGTTCTTAAAAAGTCGTGATTTGGTCTTTATTTTGTCGTCACAGTCGGGAATTCTATAGACCATGTAAAATCTAATCAAATATTCATGAGTTTGTCTTGATTTCACTAGCCACCAATCATGTTTTCGTGACCCCGGAGACAATGATGCTGTTTAGACGGCCGTGAGACTGAAAACTTTTCATTTAGTTTTTTACATTAACCGTGTTATCAGATAAAATTCCCTATCAAACATTTCATTTGGTGGAGTAATTACTGGTTACGCTAAGACTGAACCTCTAACGGTGTCATGTCACAGAAAATGTGAAGGTTTGGTTGCCGATTCTGGAATAGTTTCATAATCATATATCTGTATATTTTGGAAATAGCATGCTGGGTTCATAAAAACCTGTCCACTTTTAGTGAGACCAATTAAACATAATTACAATACCAGAAATAAGAATATTATCAAATCTGTAGCTCACAATTTACAAATATTCCAGTTATCACTGCAAAACATTGGTCCAAAAATCTTAAATAACTTACCAAGAAGTTTAATTGCTCTGGAAAATCCTTCCAAGTTTAGACTTTCTGTAAAAAATGGCTCAAGACTAAATCTTTTTTTTCATAGGCAGATTATTTGGAGGACGGTGTGGTTGCCGATTCTGGAATAGTTTCATAATCATATATCTGTATATTTTGGAAATAGCATGCCGGATTCATAAAATCCTGCCCACTATTAGTGAGACCCAATTAAACATAATTACAATACCAGAAATAAGAATATTATCAAACCTGTAGCTCACAATTTACAAATATTCCAGTTATCACTGCAAAACATTGGTCCGAAAATCTTAAATAACTTACCAAGAAGTTTAATTGCTCTGGAAAATCCTTCCAAGTTTAGACTTTCTGTAAAAAAATGGCTCAAGACTAAATCTTTTTTTCCATAGGCAGATTATTTGGAGGACTGCTGGAATTAGTATAAATAAACCTACCCATTCCTTCTAACTCAAAACAATTTACATTTAGGGAAGTTGTTTTTCTGTAAAAATATATTATTAGGTTTATGTCTTTGATTTAACCATTGACAATATGTCCTGTAATTATGATGTACTGATATGCAGTGCAAGTGCAATAAATAAATAAACAACTCTTAATCATGTCTACTGTTTCAGATGAGTTTGTTGTCCAATTCAAGTTCACTGTACTACTGATGCCCAATGGTCCTCATAGAATTACCGGTTTACCCTTCGAGGCAGAGCTTTACCAGTCAGACTTAGCTGTCAGTGATCCTCAGCTTAAGGTGTGTACTACCAACACAGTATCGTAGACATTCATTACAACCAGAAATTATACTTCTATTTATGAAACTTTTTAAAATCTGTAAGCAGCTGTTTTAGCCCAAAATTTATGTCAGTAATACTTCTTCCACGCTCAGAATGCCTCATTATCACTATGTGTGGTAGGTCTAAACCACTCTGATCACCTTGATCTGTCAAAGGATTTAGAGTTAGAGAATTTTCCTGTTCTCACGGTGCATGGTAGCTTGTAGATTTCAGAAGCCACTGATAGGCTCAGAGATAAAGGTGAAGCCATTGAAGCGTTGGTAGTTCATGAGCACAAATATAAATAAACTAGGGGGTATTTTGTTTCTTGATACCAGCTATACTAGGACATTTGTATCGGTATCGAACATATATTTTTTTTTAATCCATGCCGATACCGATACTTTACACATCTGAGACGATCCTGAGATTCAGAGTGTCTAGTAGTCGGGAAGAACAGGAAAGTCAGGAATTAGTATTAAATTTCAAAATGGTCTTAAAAAGTCAGAGGATATTTAGTTCCATATATTTAGGTGTCACAGTTGGGAATTTCATGGACCATGTAAAATCTAACGAAATATTCATGATCTTGCCATGATTGTGCAAGACGACGATCACGTTTCCGTGACCGCGTGGAAGCGATGGTGATGTCTACTCGGCCGTGGGAGAGGTTCATGATTTTGCTGTGATTGAGCTAGACATCAATCAAGTTTGGGTGACCTTGGGAGGCAATGATGACTATACAGCCGAGAGATTTTTGAACAGAATTTTGCCATGATCGTAGAATACGATGATAATGTCTACACGGCCGAGAGTGATTACATGGCCGCGGGATATAATCAGAATGTTGTCATGATTACAGAAGTTGACGATAATGTCCACACACCCGCGGCAATTGATTAGAATTTTTCCGCGATAGCGGAAGACAATGATAATGTCTATGACTAAAGATTTTTAATTAATTTCCCATGATTGTGCAAGATGACGCTTCCGTGACTAAAGGAAGATATTCCAGATGTCGTAGTGATCCCAGAAGTCGACGATGATTTCTCCACCGCCGATGAGCACGCTATTACTTCTAGTTTGGTTTGACTGAAAATATCAGGCTGACACACATCTAGTTAAAATAAAATTGTCTATTTGTTAGATCATCATTTACCTTTGATATGGTAGCTATTTAATGTGTTATGATGGGTTTAAAGTTTAAACCTGAATTGGCTAATTAGAATTTTTCATTGCTGGATTAATTTTATCTTTAGGAGCCTACTTGAAAAACAACCCATTTTCTTAAAAATACTTAATGATATAAAGACAGGAGTTGGTGTATATAACAAATCGTTTAGAAAATTTGGTAAAAATATAAAAATGGTATCAGTATCAAGAATCAATTTTCAGGTATCAGACACATCACTAATTGTTGAAAAACTACATACTATTGAAAAGTCTGGAATTTTAAAATGGAAATTAACTATCCATCCTGAGATTGTAAATTTACCGATAACGTTTTTCCTCCGATCACAAAGACAACAATAATGTCCACTCGAGTGGAAGATGTTCATTATTTATTTCTGTTATCGCGGAGACGATGGAGATGTATTGCGGGTAGGGCCTAGTGATCATGATATTACTTCTTGAGGTCAGCTTGATTTGCAGTTTGCATCTCAAAAATCTCAAGCTGGCCACCTCTAGTTATCATGCAAATTTCTGTATGACCCTTGTTTGTTTGATCTTCATTTACCTTTGATGGTAGTTATTGAATGCGTTTCGAAGGGTTTTAATTTGAATTGGCTAGCTAGAATGTTTCATTTTGGCATTAATTTTTCTTTTACTTGAAAAAAACACCCCAAAATTACTTTGTTTAAGGAAGGACATAAAGACAGGACATAAGGTCGGCCGCACACTGATCAGACAAATGTCTTTCGACAAAACGTTTTGTCGAAAGACTTCGGAAGCGAGTGGCCTACCATGCAGTTAAATGAAGGCATCGCACACTGATGAGACAGAGGTTTCAGACACGTTGTTTTGTCTGAAGACGTTTTTGGGTGTGTTTTGTGATCGCCTCCAATATTTCGTCTGAAGCCAAAATGCGGTCAGACAAACAGTTCTGCGCATGCGCTGAGGGCGGGTACAGTACAACATATCTATATATTGTAATAATTTTTCTTACAGTTAGTAGTAGTTCATTTTTGATTCGTGCAGAAAATAATAAAACGTTATTTTAATTTCAAGTATTTCAACTTATCTGTATATTTTAATAATTTTTCTTACAATTAGTATAATATATCTTAGTAGTTGTTCATTTTTTATTTATGTTTTAAAATAATAAAAATGTTAGTTCAATTTCAAATATTTCAACTTATTCAATATATTGTAATACTTTTCTTTACAGTTAGTTTAGTAGTAGTTCATTTTTTATTTACGCAGAAAATAATAAAAATGTTATTTCAATTTCAAATATTTCAGCTTATTCCATATATTGTAATAATTTTCTTTATAGTTAGTTGTCATTCATTTGAGATTTATGCAGAAAATACAGAAAATTTATGCTCCCTCCCTTCGTTTAGTTCTGCAAGTTGTATAAAGTTCCACAACATAATTGCTACGACAACTTCCTCATCCATTTTATTAACACCACACAATCTCTGGCTTTTCACAACACCGGTCTACGGGTGACTGAATTTAGTTTTCCCTCCAGTTTTAGCGAATTTCCCATATAGGGAATAAGCTATTACCGTAGTACTCATGGTAAGACCTGGACGCGGGACCGATTTTTTTTTCGTTTTGAGGTCCCTAGAGGCCAAAAACACCATCCGTTCAAATTCATATATTATGTGTCCGTCAGCACGATAACTCGAGCAAAAATGATCCGATTTTGATGAAATTTGGTACAAACGTGTAAACCTACGTTTATTCGAACGAGTTCGCGATCCAGCATGATCGGACCATGGGAACGGGTGTTTACGGGGGGTTTTATGGGGTAAAAATAGGTTTTTCCCATTTTTGACCCAAAAAACATAAAATTTAGCAATTTATTTCCAAACCATTTTGTAGAGCTTCAAAAAACAAATAATTTAGTATGTTGAAGCGTTATTATGCGCCTAATGGTTACGGAGAAAATTCCAAAAAATTTTAAATTTAAAATTCCCATGTTATTCTTATGGAGAATGAGTAAACTGTTGTAGTTTGCTTGTTTATGAACATATTTTGATCAAATTTGGAAAATGTTTTTATTTCTTACTAACTATTAACATTTTACAAAAAAAAAAACAGTTTTACCCTCCCTGATGCAGCAAACCTAAGTACTTGTTAAACTAATTCTATTTAAATCGGGAATAAATGTTATATTTTTAAGTAGACATTTCAGTGTAAATCCAATCAGTCAAATGGAAATTCGCTTAGTCTGCAGGTTTGCTGCGGCGGGGGTATTTGTCTTTTGCCTGAGACCTCTGCACACAAATGCGACATTTTTGTTTTCCTACAAAACGTTTTTCCGAAAGACGTTTTGTCTAACCAGTGTGCCTCAGACAAAAATGTTTTTTGAGAAGACGTCAAAAGCGAGTGGCCTACCATTCAGTTAAATAGATGCATCACATACTGATAATACAGAGGCTTCAGACGTGTTGTTTTGTTAAGACAGCTCACAATATTAAATAATTAAACATTTTCTGATAAGTGAGCAACCTTATGCTCTTAGCTGAATGTTTGAGCTTTGCAATAAGGTTTTAACAAGCAGATAGGACCGTGTTGTTTTAGTTTTTCAGCCTAGAGCATGAGAGTTGCAACTGCCAGTTAGAACCTTATTGTTTAGAAAAATCTCAAGATAGTTAACTTCATCAAGGTTTAACTTGCAATTGGAACCTTTAACCAAACTTTCCTTAACAATATTGATGGGTAGAACTTTATTGGTTCAGCAATTGCAATTGGTTCACTGTGTTTTGTAATCAATACAAATAGTAAAATTGTGTTTTAAGTAATATCATTGACAATTGGATACCGAAGTAGACATCCCATCTATATGAACCAGCTGTCCGCAATTTTTTATTAAAAAATAACGTAGTTGTGTGAGCCAGTCACAGAATGTGCTAGTGTCAAAAACTATTTTATACCTTATTTTTGTTGCTGACCAATAGGTAAAAACAGTTGCTATAGTTCAACATTGGTCATTCCCTAGGTTTGACGTGGTAAAAAAGTTTGTATATTCGACAGAATTTAGTAATTTAGATCAGCACAATCTGAAGGTGGCTAACATAAACTACGACGATTTTGATAAAAAATATGGCTACAAATTTAACATGGGGATGCAATGTCTAGTTGTATTAATAGTCAAAGGTAATATATAGCTTACAGCTTGGATTCATTGTAACCTCAACAAACAAAACTCCTGTGATTACAGAACAAAGAACACAGAACCAACTTTCGTCAGTTAGAACCTTAAAGCCCATATATTAACTTTGATACAGAACATGAAGGTTGCATCACTTATTTACAACCATAATGCTTCAATTAAGAATGTTATTTTGCAGATACATCTTCTATTTTTTCCTTTTTTTAAGAAAACTAGTGGCGATAGAGGTATTGTCAGTTAGAACCCTATTGTTTTGGGCCCGCTCAATCGCATGATGTCCAAAGCTTGTAGAAATATGTTTCTTCTATGTTTCTTGCAGTTACTGTACTTTTGGAAGTCGTGACACTTGGACGTGCAATGCATCCATCCCACAAAACTACAATATTATTAGGGGTGTGCGAATAGTGATTTTCAACCTCGAGCCGAGCCGAGCCGAGCTTTTTAAAAAATGTTCGAGCTCGAGCTTTTTCGAGCCGAGCTTTTCCTAGCGTAGGCCTAACCTTATCTTAATTATTAAACTTTTTTTTTCTTAAAAAAGTGCATAATAATAATAATGTTCAGTCAATTTTTAAATAAACACAATGTTATTTTAATATGTTTAAAAACATTGAGAATTGTCAAGACATCAAATAGTAGATAATCACGATAAGAACTGAACTGAACTAAATGAAGATGCAAGAAATAAAAGGATATCGATTGAAGGCCTGAAGAGATATGCAGTGCAGACTGAGACAATCAGATTGTCTTTCATGACAGAACAGCAACGCGACCTTGAATGACGACAAAACAACTAGCAAGTCGATTACATATGTATATTGTAACTACTATGAATATTTAATTCTATTTTGTATAAATAAATACAAAATAAATTTAAAAACACGTGATTATTCTTGTTGTTTTCCATGCACAAAATATTTTTGTTTAATGTAAAAATGGATTGTATGTTTAACAATAATTGCAGTCCATTATTGTTAAGCAGTATGGTCCCAAATTATTGTTTTTGATTTTAAAACATCACAGTTCATTTGACAAAATTATAGTTGAAGCAGCCCAATGGCTTGTGCAATAGTTTGTTTACAAGCTTTCTCCAGACCACGGGGGAGGGGTGGGTCTGATAAGCCGTCTATTGTTCACCCGCAAGAAGGTCCGACCCTCATTAGTGCCGCTCGGCTGCACTCAGTGGGGAACCCAATACAACAAATCAATCTTTTAAATGAATACAAATATTTGGTAATAATTGTTTTATTAATATTCACCTTGAAATTTCAATAAATTTGGTGTAAAATTTGACAAAAATCGGCCATTTTGACCGATTATTAATACAGTACCAAATACCAATAAAGTAGTACTTAATTGGTAGGTAAAAATTAACCGATTTTCGTCAAGTTTTACCCCATGCTGTGCGCTATGTCACAAAAGCTGATAACGACATGGGTGATTAGTAACCATGACAACATGTTGAATGCGTGATGAAGGGAACCCCAAGAAATAGAAGAACAATGAGAAAGAATGACGTTGTTATCTTTACAGTACTGTAAATAAACTATTACAGCGCCCCTAGTATCAGGAGCGAGACAAGCACGAGTTGACTTTCATTTGACCATGGTAGTTCTTTTTTGCTTTATGCCTGTTCATTCCAGACGAATCTAATCGTAAAGCATAACAGCCGATAACGACTAAACTAGTTATCAGTATTGCATCATACGGCTTCTTTGCCGTTTGCTGTTAGGTCGTTGGAAACGTATTGCTGTAATTTTGTCCTGGGAAACTAATGGTAGCTATGGAGATTTAGTTTTCTGTCCAAAACGTCAAAATATATTGTATATCCGAAAAAGTCGGATAAATAACGGATAGTGTCGGATATCGAATTTGGGCCCGGTTTGGATACGGATATCCGAACCGAATCCGACCAGATTTTTCGGATATCCGCACACCTCTAAATGAATCCTATTAATTAAAAAAGAACATGGTTGGTTTGGATCCAAAAAGGTGGAGAGACAAGTTTTACTTATATATTAAAAAATATATAATTGACATATAGAGGAAATAGACCAAAGCACTAGAATTAATAGAATAACACACAAAGTAAACAAGAAATGAAATGCAGAACACGATGATTTAACACTGTCACTCAATTTTGTCATCTAGAAGGGTCGGGGAACTAATCAATAAATAGCCAAAACCAGTTTCCTCCCCTTCACACAGTCTCACCGCCCCCTCCCCCCCCCATCCGGGTGGCCCAACACTTTGTCCTTGAAACACCCTTGCGTCTGAAACAATAAACCCTTACACCCTCGTTGCTGTTTTGACAACAGGTTTATGAATGATCACTATTTTTCATTTCCAGAATTAACTATCAATTATTATTATTTGCAAGATACAAATAGGAAACTACATCACATTATGGTATTTAATGACCCGTACTATCAAAAATTAATAACTCATTACTTATTTTGAAAATAAAAAGCACTCATTACAGCACGCGCCACTTATTGATATATATATAATCCTCAAAGTAACTGTTACTTTTATACAAAATAAAATAGGTACAAAATTGTGTGGCCAGTCAAACTTTATAAACAAACATTTTATTCTATAAAATACAGATGGTAAATAGGGGTTGGCTTAAAGGAAATAAAATACAAAACATATTAATTAATTATTTTGATAAACATTAGAAAGGTTATGGGATTGATTGAACTAAAATAACCGCAGGGAAACTTATAAGTAGAAAAGTCGTCAACCACAATCTTGTTTAATCAGTACATTGTTAGAGAGAGAGAGAAAGAGAGATAGCAGATAGGGGCGTTTGATAAGGAATCTTAAAAAGTAAACAAACAAGGAACAACGACAGGACGATACTCGTTTACAGCCTTATTGTGTCGCCCACTACATTTGCACACGTGACCACCTTTGTTTCTTCCTTATCTTTCATCCGTCCCAAAATAGAATTCCTGAAATAGTTTGTTGGTATAATCTCCCCTCCCACACAAGGCGCAGTGCTCAGTGCGCAATGTAGGTTGCCGTGGCAACCGTGTGTCGTCATAGCGACTTAGCCAATCACGCACTCGCACTGCGTTGTATATTACGATACGAATAGTTGTGTTGGAAAGACAACGCGATAGGTGGTAGTTTCCTCAAAATTACGATCGATAATCATTGCGTCTTGACTGAGCTGAGGTTCTTGCTTATCAAGACAGAATTATGAAACGGAGAGTAAATTTAAATGAAAGTTAGTTCCTTATTTATTAATTTAATTTTTATTTGCTAGTTCAATAAGTATTCGGCTCGAACATTTCGAACTTTTTGAAAATCACGAGCCGAGCCGAATAGGACGCTATTCGGCTCGAAAAAGCTCGATGTTCGAATACTCGCACACCCCTAAATATTATGAATTTATTTTCTGTTATCAGGGCTTTTAGTTTTTATTATTATTCAATTAGGTTTGGATTGTCAAAAGTATAAGACAAGAGATCGTATTATTTTTAATATTTTTTTTTATTTCAGACCATTACACAAAACACATCAGCAAAACCTAAAGCCAACAAAAAGAAGAAAAAGAAGGTTGGAAAGGCTGGAGAAGATGTAGTCGGAGAAGTTGAAGGAGAAGCTTGAAAAGAATCAATTGGGAAACGGCGGATTGAATTCAACTGACTTGCATATTAAATCAAAATGGGATGAGAACGGATGCACAAAGTGCCACAATTTGGAAGAGACTATGAAGAATGTTGATTTTTTAAGGTAGAAATTGGTTTTATATCAGTGAGGAGGATTTTAGTGTTTTAATTAAGATTAATTTTGTTTTGCCCTGGGACAGAGAACCTTTGTGCCTTGTTGGCTTTTTATGTTTGATTCTTTACATGCAATAAACATTGAACTTTGTAAATAATTATAATGTTTGTTCAGTTTTCTTATCATTACAATATTGATAATTTATACTTATATTGTTTCATATAATCACAAAGTATTTAGTTAAGGTAGGACAGCAATATTTGTCTTGTACCTGATTCTCACTGTTAATTTCTGGAATTGTTCTTTACATATTATTTTTAACATTCTCATTTTGTAAAATAACTTACACCGCTATTAAACTCATTGACTCTTGTGTTTTTGATTATGTCTTTTTATTGGTTTCAATCCCTAAAGCAGTACAATGGGCGACAGTGTGAACCGATCAAGGAAGAGGCCTGTAGAAAGATCAGACTGATGTTAAATAGGCAGCACTCTTCATGTTTGTGCAATAAACTAAAGGAAAAAAGTAAAAATAAATAAAGGTAAAAAGGACTCTCCAGAAAGTTATCCTCCAATATCAATCATTCCAGTAATATCAAAATTGTTTGAAATCATGGTCTTGATCACCTGAATTCTTTTTTCAAAAGTAACCACTTAAGTGTCTCACAATTTGGATTTAGAAAGGGCAAGTGTACATCAGACGCAATAGACAAATTGATTAATGAGGTAATAAAGGTCTTTGAGAGGAAGTCACTCGCTTAGGCTACCTTCTGCGACCTGAGTAAGGCTTACTATTGTGTAGACCATGATGACCTAATAATGAAATTAATTTTTTACAGCATCAAAGAGAAAAACTGTAGAATTCCAATGAGCGATTTTTTATTGATGATATTTATTGTATTATTTGGGATTATTAAATAAATGTACCCAGCGATGGTAATATGGAAACGCAAAATGGTGGGTGCGAACTTTCGTATACATGTAATACTAATACATCAATGCTAGTAGTTTGATTTGTGGAATCAATTAACTGATAGGCCGTTGGAATATAGTTGAAAAATAGTTATACCCTTTAACAAACATTATAATTACTGAAAAATAGGAATAATAAGCAACAAGTAGTAGTAGCACAGTACAATAGTTTTAAGTGATGTAAAGTTAAAGATGCCACACTGCGCTACACGTGGTTTGGTGCTCAGTGCGAGAGCGTGGACGTCCACGGACGTTTTAGAAAAATCGCTCCTGGAGCGATTCCGTCAATTCGTCCACGGATGAATTTCTGCGTCTGCGGATGGACGCTATGTTTCAATGCGCGGTGTGAACGGTCCCATCTGATAACATGGGCAACGATTTATTTTTGCATCCGTCCACGGACGAAGAAATCGTCCACGGACGCCAGTGTGAAACCGCCTATAGGAGCGCTTGTGGCACGACTACATCAATTTATGTAGTCAGCTAAGCACTCAACATGTTTTAAACAACATCAATAGTCAGCTCAGCACTCAACATGTTTTAAACAACATCAATAGTTAGCTCAAAACTCAATTGATGAAGCCCTTATTTAGTTTGAATCTAATGGCTTCCTCTTAAACAGGGTTGGTACGGTCAGGGAAAACATGGAAAAGTCAGGGAATTTTGTTGGTCAGGAAAAGTCAGGGAAATGTCAGGGAATTATGAACAAATTCTGGAATTTCTCCTAAAATACTAAATTTTTACAGATATGCTCCGTTTTGCTCTAAACAGGTTTTTGTCAGGGTGATGATTAATGGCAAAAACAACGACATAAGCACTGATGCACATTTTTTATTGATATTTAGTTATCAGTACGGGGGAGGAATCGATATTTATATGGTTTGAAACAAGTTTTGTATTTGGGAGTGATTAAACAAGTTTAATATCATGATGTATAGCCTCTGGATCATTAAAATAAGCAGAATATGGTTTATGTTACCTTGCCTAAAATGATCCTGTCTAAAATGTGTGACAGGATCATTTTAGGCAAGGTAACATAAACCATATTCTGCTAAGTTAAATATTTAAATTTTTTAAAATATCTATTGATTTTGATTAGTTGATATCAACTTACGGTATACCTGGAAAAAGTATAATATCAGTTTGGAAAACCTGGAAAAGTCAGGGAATTTTATTTACCAAAATTAGTACCAACCCTTTTAAACAAAGATAAAACTAAAAAAAATAGTTTTTGGTCTTAGACCGTGTTAGTTAAATATGGTGAATGGTTATGTAGACAATGTTAAATTTCTTGGTATTAATCTGGTCCCTTTCTTGGGGACCTCATATTGATTACATAAGTTCTAAGCTTTCAAGGGTAATTTGTCTTATAACTAAACTAATACATTTTATAGATCAAAATGATATTAAAACAGCCTACTTTGCTTATTTTCAATTCATTTTCAGATACAATATTATCTTTTACGGCAATTGCAGTAGGATGGAGGAAATTTTAGTCTTACAAAAGAAGTTACTTAGAATCATATCATGTGAACCCCAACAGGAACATTGTAAACCCCTGTTCATTCAGCTACTAAGTCTAACAGTAATTAACATTTATGTATTTGACTCTGTATCATATATTCTTAAAATCAAATAAAAAATCCAACTTAATCAAACAAAATTCTTATGTTCATAATACAAGGAACAAAAACGTTGCTATAATAGATTTTTTTAGACTGTCTATAACTCTTAAAAGCCATTTTAATCTCACTAAAAATATACAACAAGCTAATACATTTGATACAAAAATATCCTTAAAATACCTTTAAGACTAAATTTTACAAATGGCTTTTGAACAACCCATTTTATTCTCTAAATGAATTCTTTGAAATGCCTTGTATTAATTTTTAGTAGAGTTAGCAAACTAGCCTAATTACTGTTGGATTTTGTTGGTGGTATGAGGTTTAATCATTTCCATTATTCTAAATGTCACACATTTTTATTAACATAAAGATCAGTTGTAATATGTAATATATGTACCTGTTGTAACATGTTAAGGGTAGTAATCAACCTTCAGCCATAAAACTACTTTTTGCAGCTTTTTACAAGTTCCAATACTATATTTTCCCGTATTTATGTTAGTAAATAAATACGGGGTCTTTCTTACAAATCTGAAAACAACCAATAGCCTCATTCTTCTCTTAATTTTTCTCGATCATTTTAATTTTAGCGAATTTCCCAGATAGGGAATAAGCTATTACCGTAGTACTCATGATAAGACCTGGACCCGGGACCGATTTACTTTTTCGTTTTGAGGTCCCTAGAGGCCAAAAACACCATCCTTACGAATTCATATATATATATGTGTGTGTGCCCGTTAGCATGATAACTCGAGCAAAAATGTTCCGATATTTATGAAATTTGGTAAAAACGTATAAACCTACATTTATTCCAACGAGTTTACAAACCAGCATGGTCGGACTATGGGAACGAGGTTTTATGGGGTAAATTCTTTTCCATTTTTGACCCAAAAAACATAAAATTTCTTCTTTCTTCCAACCCATTTTGTAAAGCTTAAAAAAAAAATTATTGAGTATATTGAAGCGTTATTTGTGCCTAATAGTTACGGAGAAAATTCCAAAAATGGTAAATTGTTAATTCTTATGTATACACAATGTTACATAAGATAAAAATGTCAATAAAAATGTGAGACTATTGCATAAGAGTTATGCATTTTCCTTATGGAGAATAAGTAAACTGTTGAAGTTTGCTTGTTTATAAACATATTTTGATCAAATTTGGAAAACACATTTATTTCTTACTAAACTATTAACATAAAAAAACACTTACCCTCCCTGTTGCAGCAAACCTAATTACTTGTTAAACTAATTCTATTTAAATAGGGAATAAATGTGATATTAAGGAGACATTTAAGTTTAATGTCTGTCATTTAAGTGTGAATTTAACTGTTAAATATTATTGAGTTATTTTAATTTTTTTGTCTGGATACATATCTGACTTGTTTTGAGAAAAATTAACCAGAACTGTTGTTTTTAAATGCTATTTAATAAGAAAATGGATTTTCCGCCACTCTGCACAGTGAAGCAGCTTATACAATATACCTGTACCCTTTTTTTTACCAGAAATTAGTTGTTTACAGAAAGGGACTGGTAAGGTCAGCTGAAGTAGGTAAATTTAACTGTAGGTTTTTCAATAGGCTACATCAACAATGCTACAAGTTGCTCCTCCCCCCCCCACCCCCCCTTTTAATATACCCGCCTACTGTAACAATGCTAATTTTTATGTGCAGTAAGATCTCTTCTTTTTTGTAGGACGCTAGGCACGACCCCGGAATTGTTTTTTACATTACTTCAGGCTAGGCCTAGGGGTATGGCATTATCACTTGGATAAAATCCATTGGTGATTTGGCAGGATTTGAACCCGGGACCCCAGGATCCGGAGTCCCGCGCTCTAACCACTAGACCAGCTCGCTCCCCCATCTCTTTAACAAAAAATAAATAAAAATCTCTTTTACTAGACAGTTTGTGGACCCAGAGGTTGTCGAGTTTGGGGGTTGTGGAGTTATCCAGAACATTGGAATTTGTAATGGGTACAAATGAATACACAGCAGACTAATTTTTACATATGAATTTATTACTTACATGAGTATTTTTACATATTGAGTAAACAATCTTCAAAGAAACGTCACAAATATTCATCTTGAACTCTGAACACAATAGTAAGACAAAGTCAGCTAGACGTCAGCTGAGGACTGGCGAGTTACCGGGTGTCAAATAGCGAGGTGTTACTGTAATTCTAATTTGGCTATGGAACTATTTTAAATAAAAATTGTCTTAGGAAATGATTGTTTTTGGTGTAATATTGTGTCGTTGCATATCAAAATGAAGGTCAGCTGATCAGGGATGACATTTTACTAGAGTTTTAGTTATTTTAGTTGCCAGAGCCATCTTGATTGTTTTGTTTTTCTTTTGACAATTGTCATGAACTTTGTACATAGTTTTAATGACAATAAATAATTTAATTTCATTTCACTTAGAGTAGAGGTATCTGTCTTTTCAAGAAAAATACAGCTATTCAAAAATATAACATTAAAAAAATACATTTTTTGATACAAATAAAATAGTAAACCCCTGATTGCAGCAACATGTTTGTGTAAAAAATCTTAAAAATTATGTAAAATATCACCAATGTTTGTTTTTGAAAACTGTGTGATTTGAATTAGTAAACCTCTGTCTTTTGTACATCCTGAATTCAAAAAAACATTTAAAATATTTGTAAGTTATTCATTGGGGTAGGCTTAAGTATTCCTTGTCATTTTAGAACTATCATTTTGTCTAAAATAAACACTGGAAACCTTACAAAACTCACCCCTGTGTATGCATGTTTTCTGCAGACATTATCTATTGTACTATGAATCTTGAAATATGGAAAAATTAGCGTACAGCGTACAGCTGTAGATTACTCGTGTCTATTTACAGAAAAGTTTACATTTACATTTAAAAATTATTAAGCAGAATTCTTAACTGCTCTCTCAGATTTCTGTGGATTGGCCAGCTCACTCTTTGATCTCTTCCATTTCATTCTGCGATTTTGAAACCAAACCTTGACCTGGAAACAGAGTGGTAAGTACTTATTAAGATTAGAATATTTGCATACAGGTCTTTTTTCACTTACTGTAGTAACTGTACAGATGAATAAACAAAAAAAGTTTTTAAAGAATGAAATACTTTAGTGATAAGCTGCAAAGTAGCCACAGTAGCATATTGTTCATACGTATACATATAGTAAATAAATGAACTACTACATATCAATAATTCAGGGGCTGAAGAGGACGAAAACGAAAACTGAAAACGTTTCAGCTCTCTGGATTGGAACGTCATGAAGAAGACGGAGAGCGGGGCTATACCATACACAAAAGGGAGATTCGTAGTTACATCGCAAATTTCGAAGTAAAAGTAATGTAAACACAAGCAATAATTTAATTATTTAGCTACTGATTGTATATAAACATTTTGGAACTATTGAATTTTTTACATATAAAAATTGGTAGGCTAATTAAAAACAAGTTACCTTGTACGAAATAGCCCCGAGGGGTGGGGCTATTCCGTACAGTAGAAGGGGCTATACCGTACAGTTCAAAAATCATTTGTTTAGGTTTAGTAATATAATAGTACTGCAACAAATTACAGTACAAACACTTTTTATTACTATATAAAGGTTTGTAGTTAAGAAACAGTGTATTACAATTTAAACATTTTAGAAGAAATTACATTTCAAAAATCAACCTTCACGAAAAACATGAAGTTTATGAAAAAGTTATAAAATTTCATCCCAAAATCAAAAGAAAGAAGAAAAAGTCCACAAATGTAGTTCTCCGCAGCACTGCAAGCTGAATGGACCCACCCTGAACATGAGCAGCACCTTTGTACCAGAGCAGTACGGTTTAGCCCCAATCTGTACCTCGTGGGAATTTATAAACATAAACTCAAATTCTATCACTTAACCAATCATTGCTAATAACCAAAAGAGCGCTTAAGGGATGTTGTTTATTATGATATCACAGTTAATAGACTATGATAAAAGCTACTTCACTAACTTTTTATTTACTGGACGAAAATTATAAATAAGTGAGTAGAAACATGTTTTTTTACTGAAACATTGAAACTACCACACATATAGCAAAACGGTGCAGATACTGTAAACTTGCGCATGGGTGTACGGTTTAGCCCCGCTCTCCCCTAAAATCACTTTATTCATATCGCACATAGTGTACAGAATGATTTATCAATAAATCAAATTTCAGGAAGTTGGAAAAATCTTCTGATTTATACAAGGGTCTATTAGTCAGAAATAATTCCAAACGTTTTTTAAATGAATTAAAATTAGTTATATTTTTTATATTGTCAGGTAAGCTATTGAAATATTTAACAACACTAAGATGGGATTTTTTTGTAAACCGATAAATTATGAATTATGTTGAACGCCAATTCATTCACTACCTTTTCTCGTTGAATACTTATAAAAGGAGTTCAATTTTGGCAATCTTTCATGATTTGATTGAATATAAAGGGCTATTTGATAAATGAAATGTATAAGCTAAAAACAGTCATCATCTCTATTTCTTTCAAGTGCTCTTTATCGGAGTCTTTAGATTTTAGTTTTAACATGAGGCGAATTGCATTTTTATGAAGTTCCAGAATGCTATTTAGATTAAAATTTTATGTGCCCCCATAAAGACACAACCCAAAAGAAATGTGTGATTCAATTAAGGAATAATATTAAGGTATTTAAACTACTAAATTTTGACTAAATCTGTCTTAATGCATTTATGCCTTAATTGACTTTTTTACAAAAGCTTTCAACATGACTGTCCCAATTGAATTTATCATCTAACTTATATGCAATCCAAGAAATGTTATTGTTTTAACTTCATATAGTGAAATTGTACCCATAAAAGTATTAAACTTAGGTGCATTTTTGCTCCTTGAAGAAAAATTTATATAATTAGTTTTTATTGGATTCGGTAATAAATTTATTTCATTTAAATATTGGATACATTTTGTAAACTCAACAAAAGAAGAGACTTCCACATCAGAATTTGAATCACAGGATATTTTTATATTGTTGTCATCAGTAAATAAACAAACATGATTGTGAGATTCTATCAATGAGGGAGGGAAAGTCAGTCAAGTAAATTAAGAATAATAGGGGCCCCAATGTTGATCCTTGAGGGACACCATACCTAACAATTTATGTTGAAGTGTAAGTAATTAATTGGCTATGGCTATTTATGTTATCAATTGCACCATACTGCTGCCTGCCTGTAAGATAAGATTCAAACCAACCCAAGCTCTCCCTCCCTCAAGTTTTTTTTCAAGAATTAAATCATGTGAGACACTATCAAAGGCTTTTGTTAAGTCCAAGAATATTCCAACTACTTTTTCCTTTGAATCAATTGAATTAATTATAGATTCACAGAAATCAACTCCTGTGTCAATAACATACCTTCCTTCTCTAAAACCATATTGTTCTTTATCTATTAAATTATTTTCTTATAAGAATTTTGAAAGTTGTATTATGCATAACTCGCTCAAAGATTTTGGAAAATGAGCATAACAATGAGATAGGCCTGTAATTACACATTCATTGATATGTTGGAGTAGGTGACATCACAAATAGTGTTAGCGCCAGCAATGACTATAACCGTGTCCTCATTTGAGAATTCTTGTGTCATGTTGGAAATGTTGTTTAATATACAGGGTGTCCCGGAACTCTCTACCAATATTTTAGGGCATTGCTCCTGGGTAAGAAACATACCTAAATATCATATTTAAATTGTCTGGAAGTCCTTAGTTACTCACACAGCCGCCATTTTGATTTGTTCAGTTATTAATTTTTTTCTAAAGTATGGTTAAACATACAAAATGGAAACTTTGCACAAACATTTATGACAACTAGACAAAGCTACCAAAAAATTATGACGATTTTTAAAATTCATAAAACAAAATGGCGGCCGTCTAAAATTATGTTTCTTAAATAACTCGAAAACCGTTGATTTTACAAAAATTTTACAAGATTAACTTTTTTAAGGAAACTCTATTACAAATCGATCGACACCTTAATCTTTAAGATCGGACCAGTATTAACTGAGATATGGCAGTTTTAGTGATACGTGACCGCTGGAGGTTAGTTGCAGCGCATGCTGAAAGCGGTCACGTATCACTAAAACTGCCATATCTCAGTTAATACTGGTCCGATCTTAAAGATTAGGATGTCGATCAATTTTTAATAATCTTGCCTTAAAAAAGTTAATCTTGTAGAATTTTTGTAAAATAAACGGTTTTCGAGTTATTTAAGAAACAAAATTTTAAACGGCCGCCATTTTGTTTTATGAATTTGAAAAATCGTCATAATTTTTTGGTAGCTTTGTCTAGTTGTCATAAATGTTTGAGCAAAATTTCCATTTCGTATGTTTAACCATTCTTTAGAAAAAAATTAATAACTGAAAAATCCAAAATGGCGGCTGCGTGAGTAGCTAAGGACTTCCAGACAATTAAATATGATAGTTAGGTATGTTTCTTACTTAGTAGCAATGCCCTAAAATATTGGTAGAGAGTTCCGGGACACTCTGTATATTCAACAGAAGCACCCAAGTTAGCACAGGCAAATGATATATACATGGTAATAAATGAAAGGAAACATTATGAAGCTTTTGGTTGAATATTTTCATGCTTGTTACATACTTGTGAACATTAATACAATTGTAACCTAAATACTAAAACCACTCCACCAGTTCTGAAAATAATGCCGCTTTAAAGTACAATTTGCAATACTAGGTGATTGTAGTAATTCCGAGCAGCAGAAAGCGAGCTATTTAATCTCAAAACTAAGTAATCTATAGAAAGACTAGGAATGGTCACACAACACAGAAGTCACTTTGGAGGGCTGGATGACTTGAATAAAGTGTATCATGTTAATTTTGTTGTGTACTGCTTGCATGCTATCAACTGCTTAGAACTATTAGGTGAGTTCCCCCCACCAAGAAAGTGGCTGTATTTTACTTTGTTTAACAACTTTGGGTGGGTGCAAAAAGATTGGGTTGATCAACGTGATTTATTTACAATCTTGGACGATTTATTTGTTAGACAAACTTGATGGTACAGTTAATTTATAATATTTAAGTGTTGTAGGCTTACATGTTAAATGTTTTGTTTGTTATGTATTACAATGTGTACATTTTTATGTTTTAACTTAAAATTCTACAATTTGGCCGAGTATAAATTGGAAATGTTTCTGTATACCACTCGAAAATGCCATATTCAGTGAAACATACATATTTGATTATAAAACAATATTACTATATCTAAACTGCAACCGAGGTATGTGATAGTTTAGTCCTAAATATTCGTCAACTCACTTGTCTTTCAGTCAGATCTAGGGCAACGGCAATCTCGTATCTTCGTAGTCTCGTCAAGTAGTTAGAGTGATGGAACTCGCCTTCTAGTTGACCTAACTGCTGCTTGGTAAAGGCTGTTCTCTCTTTTCGACCTGTCAAACATTCTAATTTAAAACATTTAAAAAATTCTTTTCAATGTAATTCAAAAAATGTAAAACCTCATTAAAAAAACATCATGCATGATCTTAGTCTCTGACTCATTAAAGTCAAAGTTGTTTAGTCTCTTAGTCTCTACACTAGTATAGCTTACTCTCCTACAGCCCCGGAATGTAGATGGACAACATACATTTACACTTATACTCTTAACTCACAAGATGGTAAATTGATGAATAGTCCAGTCAATGAATGATCCAAAAGTAGGTGTAGAGTGCGTGAGCAGGTAACTAAGCGATTCCTTCAGAAACTTGTTCAGGGGGCTTAGGGTGTTAACATACCAAAAGTCCTGACTCCTAGGTGGTGAGCCAGGGGGTGGAGGGGGGAAAAAGGGGGGGGAAAAGGTACGCATTTTGGGTTTTTTGATTATATCTCGAAAACTATCAACTTTTTGTATACTATAGTAAATTATAAAATTGAAGAAGATTAAATTTTCTACAAGAAAAGTATATAATGTGTTTATTTTGGATCAACAGATTACGAGTTATAACTTATTTAATTGATATCTTATTAAAATACTCCTTCCATAAGAAATACATGTAAATTAGTATGCGAAATGGGGCGAATCCTATCCGCCCAAAGGAAATATAACTGATATTCTGGAAATCTTGACAAAATTTCCAGTAATTTGACACTTTAATCATGAAATTTTGTCAAAAATTAAAGCCAGGGTGAGCGTTTAAAAATGGGATGATTTAAGGTTTTTTTTATATTTCCAATAAAAAAACGCCAAAACTCGACATTTTGTTACCTCGCCCTCGCCTTAATTTTGGATCAATTTTAATGATTAAAGTGTCAAATTACTGGAAATTTTGTCAAGATTTCCAGAATATCATTTATATTTCCTTTGGGCGGATAGGATTCGCCCCATTTCGCATACTAATTTACATGTATTTCTTATGGAAGGAGTATTTTAATAAGATATCAATTAAATAAGTTATAACTCGTAATCTGTTGAACCAAAATAAACACATTATATACTTTTCTTGTAGAAAATTTAATCTTCTTCAATTTTATAATTTACTATAGTATACAAAAAGTTGATAGTTTTCGAGATATAATCAAAAAACCCAAAATGCGTACCTTTCCCCCCCCCCTTTTCCCCCCTCCACCCCCTGGCTCACCACCTAGGAGTCAGGACTTTTGGTATGTTAACACCCTAAGCTCCCTGAACAAGTTTCTGAAGGAATCGCTTAGTTACCTGCTCACGCACTCTACACCTCATTCCTTGACTGGACTAGAATTGGAGTGTCCAATAGAAATTGATGATCACTTACCATCTATTATACATGTATATTTACTGTATTTGAGTTAACAAGTGTAATTATATGTTTAAAATGTAATTAGACATATGTTTATTTACTTTCTGTAAATTTAACAACACACACAATGCTGATCAAGAAATTATTTTGTATTTCATGTCAATCACAAAATTATCCAAAATCCGTTACTTTGCGCCTGGTAAGGAAAATCAGTAAGACAACTGTTAAGGCCTTTTCGCACCGGCGTAATGGACGTCCCAGACATTCTTGACATCCAGTGCACGGTCCTTTCACATCACACAGAAACTTCCAAAGCGTCCACTTGTCCATTTGAAGTCAGACGAGTAACACCCTCACTCATTTCTATTTTCTAAGAAATTACCGTAAGATTTAACTCGCAGTCAAATTTTGGTTATAGTGTATCCACATAACTCTTTGTGAGATTTTTTGTTTCCTAGCAATCACTTGATTCCATCAGAAAAAATAGTCATCAACATCAATGAAGAAAATCAACCCAAATCCAGTTAATGACCGAAACGGTCATTCACTGTTTATACCCTAATTTGTGAACCAGTAATTGACCGGCTGTTTAAATATACAATAGGTTAGGATTTTGATCTTTAAATGAGTACAGAATTGTACCTTAACATGTTAACTGTGAATTACATGTAACAATTACATTTAATGTGTAATATATTACAGTTACAATCAATAATTAAAGAACTATGACAAATTACAACCAACCATGTTTGTGCGAAACGCCATAGTGGGAAGCTTAACAATGAACTGCTTGGTACATCTAATTTTGTTTTTGTTACAAAAGGATGATTGAAACTTTATTTTTAATCAGTCACAGAGTGCATTAGGCCCCAAAGTTACTTTTTAAACCGTTTGTGATGGACTAGCAAAAACAGAAAGTCTGATATGATGTTTTTTTTTCATACAAAACGGTAATTCAGTAAGGGGTGTTCATCCTCTGGTGCACCCACCCTACATCGAACACTGAAGCAAGTGATCTAAAGTGTTTGTATAATCATTAAAATTCACGTACAGTATGGTCTTGCTTCTCACGGCAATATATTTTACGCCACACTACATTATTTTGACGAACTTGCCACGCAAGGATTTAGTCCAGAAAACAGCTGTTTGCCGCCAGCTTAATCAAATGGGGTTTCATTGCGTACTACTGTACTGCAATGAGTTTTACCGGACACCAATCAGCTGATTATACTGTATTTGCGTGGCAATGAGTGTTTATAAACAAAGACATAACCTCTCTTAGTGATTACGACTAGTTATTTTTAGTCCTTTAGTTGGTGGTCATATATAAAGATTTGTAAAGATTTAGTAGTATGGCGTAAACTATCGTACGTAACGCGTCCAAAATGTGTTTACCGGACTCGTATGGTAATCCCGTACTCGACTTCGTCTCGCACGGGAACGACCACACTCGTCCGGTAAACACTTGTTTTCAGGACTAATAACGTAATATACTATACTGGCGGAATCTCTATTGTAAAATACAACAAGAAGGCTTCGTTAGTCGTTACTAAAACTAAAACTTCATACTATATTGGAACTCACAGGTACATGGGCTAGAATTTAAACATTTCAGTTTCCATGTCCTAGAGCCTAGATGAGTTGTTATAGCATAGTGGATTAATATGTCGTTTTAAAACACTTGAAATAAAATAATGTTACGGATTAATTTTTGGAAACAGAAGTGAGAGTGTCCTCTTGTTTCCTCTTCAGATGATTATAAGAATATTTTTTTTTGTTGAAATTTCAGCTTATTTTATTTGTTAGTTTTGGGATACAAAGTACAATTCGAGGGAACCATCATCTACAGTAGGTTAGTTTCAGGTAAAACTATTTAGGTAGATTATGTATACCTTTTCCTTTTACCTAAATTCAATCTCTGTTCACTTTATCCTTAGAACAAAACTATATCTGAATCCTCAATGCTAAATCTTTGAATAAATGTTTTTTTACAACTACAAAAATTGTTGATTGTTCGCTTAACAAAACATTACGCATGAAAAGTTTTAATAAGTGTATCTAATCGATCATGGTTATATTGGCGTTAAGTAGGCTATGACATGTTCACCAAAATAAATATTTTAAAACTGTGAAAGGTTACGCATTAAAAGTTTTAATAAGTGTGTCTAATCGATCACGCTTATATTGGCTTAACCACAGAGAATATGTCTGTGGTTTAACCATGGGTTGGGGTCGCTCGAGCCCATTTATGAAACAAAAGGTCCTGTAATTAAAAATAAAACTCAATGAGATAATATTCGTTTCAAAATGTGATACGTAATCTAGAGTTCCACTTAGTTTTTTTAAATATATTTGTCGACAGTTTGATACCCACAACATTGGTGTCCATGTCCATTCATCAACATTCGATTATTCCAGTATTGTTTGAAAAGCTAGGAAATTTATATTTTTAGGTTGAACGTATTGCCATGGTGGATTTCAAAGCCAGCATCGTATTAACAAAAATGAAACTTTTCAATATGCAGATGACACAATGCTTTTGCTTGGAGGACCCGCTATTGAATTCCTGTAAACTAGCATATACAGAGAATTCTTTGCTCTGGGTTCCGGGCTAATTTGGCCTGGCCCTTAATGTATGAAAAACACAAATTATAAACTTTTCTACTATAACTACAGGGAAGATTCCAATCACATTATCCTCTCAAATCATCAATTACCTACACAACATAATGTAACCTTCCTTGGATTAATTTGGAATAAAGTCTTAACTGGGCAAATTGAAAATTGTAGTAAAAAATTACACCCTTGCATTTTTCTTTTCAATACAAATAATATCATAAGTAACGAATCTGGAAACGCAGCTAATAATATACCATGCGTATTTCACATCATTAATGACATCGTATCCTGATCTGGGGTAACTCTCCTCATTCAAAAAGGATGTTTAAATTATTACAAATAAGTACCTAATACGAATTATTGGTTAAGTCTCCTAGAACCTCTAGTAAAAAACTGTTTCAAAATTTAAAGTTCTAACTTTCAATGATCAGAATATTTTTGAAATAGCATGCTGGGTTTATATAAGCCTTTCCATTTTTAGGGAGACCCAAATTAAACATAATTACAATAGGACCAGAAATAAGAATATTATCAAACATGTAGCTGGCAATTTACAAATATTATAGCTATAACCGCAATACATTGGTCCAAAAATCTTAAATAATTTTCAAGAAGTTGAACTTCTCTAGAAAATTCTTCCAAGACTTTCTTTAAAAATGGCTCAACACTAAATCTATTTTTTCTTTGGTAGATTATTTGGAGGTCTGCTGGAATTAGGTATGAATAAACACCCATTCATATTATATAGCCTACAACGTTCTTCTAGCTCAATTTGTGTCATGTAAAAACATTATATTTAGGGCAGATTCAGTTGTTTTTGTGTATTAGTTGTATTTATTGGTTTTAAGGATCCGATTTAACCATTGACAATACCTCCTGTTATTATGATGTAGGCCTACTGACATTTAAATAAATAGATAAATTCATACTCATTTATTACATAACTGTTAAATATCCCTTTGGCCAAAGTCGATTAACTACTACACAAAAGTGTTATTATTTTTATACATTTATTTTTTATTACATTAAACCCCAATAACTGAGGAAGGTTTCTGTAATATTACATCTATCTTCAATTGAACATTTTTTAAAGTTTATTTTTTAGTTAAATTTTTTTGAGTATCACCACCGTATTCTAACACCGAGAAATATATATTCAATTTTATTATAAACTGATATTATTTTTACGTTAACTGATAATAACGATAATTTTATGATAAAAATGTGAATGTGTAATTCTTGGTTGTATTATGGTACCTCACAAACTTTTACAACTTACGATAGTAGAAACCACTCAGTTAAAAGAACTGAGTAGGTAACATTTAGTAAAACGTAACTTACGGCACATTTTATTTTGTTAAACAATATCTTTAAATGTTTAATCAACACATTATTTTACTTCGTCCTATTAAAAACTAAGATCTTGGTTGTTAATATTATTAATTTGTATTCTACCATGCATATTGATTGATTAAGAATGTGTATCAGCCCACCTTTGTTCTCAATCCTATCTTCGTCTTCTTGTGGTTTCAAACTGTTCTGCTGCGTCGAGACATTGGCTGTAGTAGAAGGATAAGTCCGGTGTGCTTCTCTATCCACCTGTCCTTTGAAACAGAGGCCCTCAAAGTCCGGGTCAGTAGATCCGAGCAAGTTGTCATCGCTGAATCCGGAGTTGCACACCTCCAAAAACTCCTCTCCCGACTCCAAGTCCGACAAGTGGCCGGAGCTGTTGCACGAATTGTTGTCAAAGGCACAAGTTTTGTTAAAAACCGTTTCGTCAAAAATGTCCCCGAAATCATAACAGTCCTGATAACACGGGATGAAATGATGCGGGTGCGAGTTCGCGTCGTTTAAACGTTCGAAACTGGGAGAGATTTGCCAATCAACGGTACAACTGTTGTCTACTACTTCCGAGGAATATTTGTATAGTGAAGTTTGTTCTGGCGAGGCGAACTTAAACTGATTTTGATGAGCGAGATCGGGGAACGTGCAAGTGAAGTTATTCTCCTCGTCCATGACGTGTGGAGATCGCGGGCACATGTGTTGTGACCGTCCGTCGTCCGAGGTTGACATTTGGAGTTGTGAGATCATTCTCCGTCTCGACCAATAGGCTTTCGAGTTCGAAGCTCTGCACCAATCGGAGCTGAGTGACTTTTTCTTTGTCGCTTTGAGTCAAATGCGTTGTTTTTGTTAAATGTCTTCATTCTTAACCAAACAACATCAATGTCGTTGTTGTAACTTTAAACGGATAATTAAACTACTTCATCTTTTACTACTGCAAATGATAAATAATTACTGCTGAATATTTGTATTTAAATTGCAAACTCTGTAACACAAAACATACAATTAATTGTATAATTAATAGGCTAATCCATTTGATCGAATTTAAAATAAATGAATGCTTGCATAAACTGAAGCGTTGTTTGTACGTAATGGATGTGGAAAACATTAAACAAAACTTTGACAAAGTTTAAAATTCCCATCTTATTCTAGTGGATAGTAAGTAAACTGTTGTAGTATGCTTGTTCATAGATATATTTTGATCAATTTTGGAACATTTATTCATTTCGTACTGAGCTATTGACATTTTAATTGCACATTTACCTTCCCTGTAGCATCAAACATAAGTACTCGATATACCTTATGTTACTTGAATAGACAATAGACAGACATCTGAAATATCTGAGTGGAAGGCAAATGGAAATTTGCATCTGCAGGTTTGCTGCGGAGAGGAATTTATTAACTATGGGAAAAACTTAAATCTACAAATTTGGAACGGAACTGAGTTTACTAAATGCGACCTTTTATGATAAGGTCACGAACTGATTAGAGTGTATATAATTTATGTTCATGTAATCAACTATCAAGTAATCTAGCCCCCTGAAAATGTGTTAGAATAACTTAAAAACTGTTTTCTGTCAACTATTGTGGAATCTGTTATTGGGGGTTCACAACATTTTGTCGGTTTGAGGGGAATTTCACCCACCACTTTTTTTACTTAATATAAGCCTATAATGTAGCAGCTAATTGATGTTTTGACAAACATCAGCTGTTAAGCTATTTTACTTTAATTATCTAGTGAATGGGATATCAGAAAAAACTATAAAAAAATTTGTTCGATAATGCCTTTTGCAGCATTCGTGAGTTTCTTTGCCCTAGAACTGGTAGTGTAAATACAGTAGCATAGTTGACAGTTTTAATTTATATAAGAGATTTTTGTTTACATAAATATAGTATTTTATTATGTTTTTGACGTAGCTAATGCATTTTATGTTAATTTTGCTGAATAAACGACTTATGACTTATAGATTTCTACCCCTTTACGAGGTATAATACCAGGCTTTATATGTAGTTTTTAAAACGTCAAACTTTATGATATTAAATATTTTAAATTCCTAACACAACAGAGAGGTGGTCGAATATTGTGCATAACATTACATTGTTACACTAAACTTAAAAGACTATTCTTTAACTTTAATTTCAGAGACAATTATATACCTTACGTTCCATTGATTTCCTTATATACCTATTACAGTAATGCCATTTGTTAAGTACAGTATAACTAATACAGTTTACTGTTTGTGTAAGTAGTTAGCCAATACTAATGAATGCAAAACTCTTTTCATGTATGCCCTACATAACTTTTCCCCCAAAATAAGTGTCCCTTGAAATCAATCAATTTACAAAATAAAATTAAGAATATTTTAATGTTTTTACAATGGTTACTCAGATATCCCATAAGGTAGAACATGTTTACAATTTATGTTTCGTGATTTATTCTTGTTTGGCGAGATTCAGTCAGTCGAGTTTGCGGTTTGGTGGTCGAGCTGGATGCCCGAGTTTCTCTATTATTCCACAGTCCGAAGTGTTGCAAACGCGAATGACGTTTTACGGATGACCTATGATGCAGCTGTTGGCGGCTTGTCAAAGACGTCGCTTCCGGTCCGGTCAAGCTTCCGCCCTCCACCCCCTACCCTACCGTTAGCTCTCGCCAAGTAGTAATATTGATACACTAGCAGCGAGTGAATTAGCTCTAGCATGATATGAACTAAACATAATCATTGCTAGTAAATACTTGTTCGCTATTGACATAGAGCGTGTTAATAGTGCTAGCAGGCTAACACAAATCTGGGTATTAGTTGTCCCGTGTTCTACTAGTGGGAGTACACTTCTGTACTAGCGCATGACAAATGATTCGCTCGCATGGACCCAAGGAAGCAGTGCTAGTTGCGAGTTGATATTTTATTTCCATGCTTCAATACAGTTATATACCATTTACATAGAAGCAGTCCATGTACTTATAATTATTACTGGAGTGGGTTTTGATCATTTTGTCTTTTTCACTTCACTTTCACTGTCATGCCATGCTTTAAATAGGTACTAACACATAATTAAATTACCAATGAATATAACAAAGGGTATAAATATTTAAAAATATAACAGTGATAAATAATGGAAATATAAATTCAGAATGATACATAGTAGAACATTGATAACAAGACTCTCGTGGGGATTTATAAATGAGACTTGTTATCAAGGTTGACTTCATGTCGAGGTTTGCAATAACATGTGATTAGGGGTAAAATAAATTCTGGGGGATTTAAAAATGACACTTGTTATCAAGGACGACTTGTTATTGAGGTTCTAGTTATCGAGGTTCCACTGAAATACAACTAAAACAACTAAAACACAACGTTGAGAGTATTGATCTTGTCGGAGAAAATATCGATACTGTCACATTTGTCTATAAATTGTAGTCCCTCATGAGGGGAGAGGTACGGGCAGTGGTGCGGCTGTAGGGCAACGAGAAGAGATGTTTATTTCTACTGTTGAAGGTGGACACGCGATAAGACAGGCCAGGTAAGCAGCGAGTAGATATAATACCAGAATATGACCCCACTTTCGGCGTTTTAGAGGCACTTTTAGGGCACTTTTTATAGGGGAAAAATGAGAAAAAAATGGAAGAGCTTTTTTTGGCCACTTTTTTTAAAGACCCAGCTCTCGACCTATACACCCCTATATAAATTTTCTACTTTTGTTAATACTAAAAATCACGTCTGGAAATGGTGAGCTTTTTTTGGCCACTTTTTTAAAGACCTGGATCTCGTCTAATACAAGCCTATATAAATGTTCAAACTCCATTAAAATTTCAAATCCACATCCATTCCCATGTATATTTTCAAAATCATGTGAGGTTTGTGCGTGAACTCGGGCATGCTCCCGGCTCATGATGTGCTCCCTTGGACATCCTTAGTGGAAATCCATGAGTTCTGGCTACTTGGGAACCCAAGCCATTTGACATACAACGAATCACCCTTTCTCCTAATTACCTTCTCTACCAAATACATGTCCTTATACTTGGTCTTTAACAACTCCTCTGTATAGAAGCCTCCCCTGATTATATTGCCATTTTCATCTTTCAAGATATAAGTCACAGGCTTTGTATTCTTAACTTCTGCTATTGTAAATAGTTCCCCTGTCCAATTTGGAGTATAACCTTTACTAAAAACATGTTTATACTTGGAAATCCTTACGCTATCACCTACCTTATATCTTGGCTTTTTAACTTGCACTACTTTAGAAGTCAACCTCTCATGCACATATTTACTATTCTTAACATTCACTTGGTTAGGCTTCATTCCTATAGATCTATGCACTTTATTATTATATTTTCGAATTAACTTTGGAAGTAAATCCAACCATTTATAACTCCCCTGAGCACTAAATTCTCTATATAACCAATTCTTTAAAGTTCTCTGAAACCTCTCCACAATTGCAGCCTTAGTTGTAGAAAATGTGTGATAGTGATTAATATTTAATTTTTTCATTAGTTTGCTAAAATATTGATTAAAAAATTCTTTTCCATTGTCAGATTGAATGTTTTTAACCCCCTTTGGTAGAATGGTTTTAATGGCTTCTGTAACCACTAACCCTGTCTTATTCTTTAGTGGAGCAGCATAAGCTTTTTTAGAAAATGTATCTATTAAAGTTAAAATATATTTATTGCCAGAATTTTCTCTAGCATAGTTTTGCATATCAACTAAATCTATTTGTATGGTTTCGTTTATACCCAATACTTTAAAAGACCTTCTAATGAAATTCTTTCTTGCAGGCTTATGAAGCTCGTATGCAATTTCATTCATTTTTTATAACATCATCCTTTCCTGTAACTCTAAATACATCACCATTAGCCCCAATCAATAGATTATCTTCCATTCTTTTAAATACATAGTTTTCTGGTATATATGGTCTATTATCTATATACTTAAATCCACTCAAAGATGTGGGGTCAGCAACTAATAAATCAGGATTATATTCCATCAAATTAAACTTTTTTTCTCCATATACAAATTTTGATCCATCGTAATGCATAGATTGTGACATTAGACAAATATCATCCAAATGTTCCCCCTCTGGTAGATTTCTTATAAATTGTTTTTTGGCATCCCAACATTTTTCTTTTTTATCAAAAGTTATAGTCTGTTCTTTTATAACACAGTCAGTTTCATCAATGGCAGGTTTAACACGTACTAACCTTTTACTATTAAAACTCCAATAGCCTGCTTCCATTTTTGGAACTTGTGAAACATTCACAGCATCTTTACTATCTGTACCTTCCATCAAATTACTAATTTTCTGTTTCTTTGCATTCCAAACACCATTCTCTGATTCTAAAAATTCATAATTATTATCGTCTTGTACAAATTTACCATCTTCTTTTCGTAT